GGGTAGCTGCAGGGCCTCCCTTGTCAGGGCTGCTCAGGCCGGGGCGACTCACGCGGTCCCTGGCGGCGCCTCCCCTCCGCGGCCCTTGACTGGGCTGGGGCGATCACTTCCCGTGGCAAGAGCAGGGGGAGGATCCGTGCAGCGGGACTGGCCCCACCTCTCCGGAGCTGCCTCCTCCCCGCCCAGGCTGCGGGGCGTTTCCTCTGGGCCCCCCGCCCCGCCTTTGCTGCCCCAGACTCCCCGCACGGGCTCGCCCTGCGCACCTCAGCCCTCCAGCAGCAGGGAGGATCATTCTGGACAGTCCTGCTCCTTTTTAATACTAATGAGAGGGGAAGAAACCCTTCTCTCCGGCCCGCCTTTGTAAAGATGAAGAAAAGCAGGGCCCCCTTTGCTCTCCTTTGCAGTTCAGCTTTAAGCTGCCCGCCCTCCCTCAGCGAGGAAGAAGGTGGCAAGGAAGGATAAGAAAACAGATTTTTCTATCCATTGCACTTAAGGCTTGTAATACTCAATTTAAAACTATGAAGGAAAGCTCATTACTGTGGAACCCCCTCTCCTCTTCTTATTTCCTGGCTGTCAGCCTGTTGTGGGATTTCTGTTTATTTTGTTCAGAGCATAAGAATGGCCATACTGGGTCAGACCAAAGGTCCATCTAGACCAATCTCCTATCTTCCAACAGTAGCCAATGCCAGGTGGCCGGAGAGCGTGAATAGAACAGGTGATTCCTCTCTTGTCATCCATTTCCAGCCTCTGACAAAGGCTAGGGACACCATTCTTACCTATCCTGCCTAATAGCTATTGATGGACCTAACCTCCATGAATTTATCTAGCTCGTTTGTACCTATTAAAGTCCTGGTCTTCACAACATCTTCTGTCAAAAAGTTTCACAGGTTGACTGTGCACTGCATGAAGAAAAACTTCCTTTTCTTTGTTTTAAACCTGCTACCTATTAATTTCATTTCATGACCCTTAGTTCTTAGGTTATAGGACCAAGTAATAACTTTTCTTGTTCACTTTTTCCTCACCATTCATGATATATCACCCCCCCTTTAGTCTAAGGGTACATCTAGACTACATGCCTCTGTCGCCAGAGGCATATAGATTAGGCTACCAGACATAGTAAAATGAAGCGGCAATTTAAATAATCGCCGCTTCATTTAAATTTACATGGCTGCCACGCTGATCCGACAAACAGCTGATCAGCTGTTTGTCGGCTCAGCGCGATAGTCTGGACGCGCGGGTGTCGACATCAAAGGTATTTGTCGACCACCCAGGTAAACCTCATCCCAGGAGGCGACAGAGGCATGTAGTCTAGACGTACCCTTAGAATCATGGAAGACACAGGGAGGTCATTGAGTCCAGCCCACTGCCTGAAGCAGGACCAACACTAACTAAGCTGAGAAGTCCCAGTCTTTTTAATCTCTCTTCATATGGGTCCCATTCCACACCCCTAATAATTTTTTAACTTTCCCCACTACCAATATATATTTTTTGAGATGAAGTGCAGTATTCAAGATGTGGTTTTATACATAGGCAATAAAATACCTTCTTTTTCCTCTATCCCTTTTTGAAAATTATTCCTAATATTCTTTTTGCTTTTTTGACTGTTGCTGCACATTGAGTGGGTGTTTTCAAAGAACTGTCCAAAGGTCTAGCAGCTCCTTTCAAACCATGAGGCCTGAGGGCAGAGCAGGCAGCAATGCAAACTTAGTCCCCCAGTCAAAGCCCCAAGTCCTGGTGCAGGGCGGGGCAGCAAAGCAAACACAGTACCACAGTTAATAAGGCCCTGGTCTTATTTCAGGGCAGGTCAGCAAACAAATAGCCCAAAAGTTAATATAGCCCAGGCTCTGGTTCAGGGACCTTAGAGTTGCTAGGAGTCCAGGAGCAGCCCGAGGCCAGCTGCAGCAGCTGGCGCCCTAGGCGGGGTGGCGAAATCGCCGCCCCTGCCTGCCCGGCCGTCAATGGCCATGACATTACCACGGGGCGCCCCCCAGCACTCCGTGACGTCATCATGGGGCGCCCGGGGCAGCAGCGCCCTAGGCTACTGCCTAGCTCACCTAGGCTCATGGGCCACCCCTGCAGGTGTCCAGTATTCACCTGGACAGTCCAGTATTTTCGGCCCCTGGCTGGTAAAAAAATTCAGAGAATACCGAACATCTTAAGGCTGTGTCTACATTGGCCAGTTTTTGCGCAAAATCTTGCCAGCTGTGTAAACTGGCCGTGAGTTCTTGCGCAAGAACTCTGATGCTCCCGCTTGGGAAAAAGGCCTCTTGTGCAAGTGTTCTTGCGCAAGAGGCCAGTGTAGACAGGGACAGGAATTTCTTGCGCAAGAAAGCCCCCTTCCCCCAATGGTGAAAATGGCCGTCAGAGCTTTCTTGTACAAGAGAGCATCTACAGTGGCACAGGATGCTCTTGCGCAAAGGCACATGCCAGTGTAGATGCTCTCTTGCACAAATACTTCAACGCAAGAACTCTTGCATTAAAAGTATTTGCGCAAGAGAGCACCAGTGTAGACGCAGCCAAAAAGACCAGTATTTTCTGAATTTTTCCCTGGCTAGGAGGCAAAAATGCCGGGCACCTGGCAACCCTACAAACATTCAGCACCTAGCCTCCCTGCCCCCCTTAAACCCTCTCCAGCCCCCAACACCCCCAGCCCCCATGCTTACCTGGTTCCCCAAGGCTGCCAGCACAAAATGGCTGCCGGCCAAAAGACCTAGGGGCAGCAATTCCCCTGGGTCTTAGGGCTTAACCGCTCCCCTGTTCCTATCTTTGCATTTAAAGGGGACATGATGTTTTAGTCCTTGGAGTCCTTTTTTTTGCTCAACAACTTTGGTCTCCCCCAACCCCTTTTTTTCCCCAGTGTTTTTTTTTTTTTGGGGGGGGGGTTCAGTATTTTTGTTTCAACCATCTGGCAACCCTATTCAGGGTGGGGCAGCCAAACACACATAATTCCCCAGGCATGAGCGGGGAGGGGAAGGACTGTCACCCAGTATGTGGGTGGCAAGGGAGATTCAGGCCCTCCCTACTCCACCGCGTCCCGGCCTACGGCCCTAGCAGTGGCAGCCTTGGCTGCCAGTAGGGACAGCAGGGATCCGGTCTGCAATACTCCAACACACTCTAAAGCCGGGGTGGCCAAGCTGAGGCTGGGGAAGAAAAAAATTGCAGCTCCTGACGGAACCGGGATGGAACCCGGGACCGCTCAGGTCATCCACTCTCACAGCTGGGTCACTGTGAGTCATGTGCGTACCATTCTGCTCACAGCCCCCAGCGCATTACATCATATCCTGCACGTGCAGGCCGGGTAGCACTCAGCATTCCAGCCTGCACCTTCTAGCAGCTGCTTGCTGAGTGAATGCCATGTGGTCCCAGTGACTTGGTACTGTTAAGTTTATCAATTTGTTCCCAAACCTCCTCTAATAATACCTTAATCTGGGACAATTCCTCAGATTTGTCACCTAAAAAGAATGGCTCGGGTTTGGAAATCTCCCTCACATCATCAGCCGTGGAGACCAAAGCAAAGAATTCATTTAGTTTCTCCGCAATGACTTTATCATCTTTGAGTGCTCCTTTAGCATCTTGATGGTCCAGGGGCCCCACTGGTTGTTTAGTAGTCTTCCTGCTATTGATGTATTTAAAATTATTTTCTACTACTTTTTGAGTTTTGGCTAGCTGCTCTTCAAACTCCTTTTTGGCTGTTTTATTATAGTTTTACACTTAATTTGACAGAGTTTATGTGCTTTTCTATTTTCCTCACTAGGATTTAACTTCCACTTTTTAAATTATGCCTTTTTATCTCTCACTGCTTCTTTTACTTGATTGATAAGCCACAGTGGCACTTTTTTGGTTCTCTTACTGTGTTTTTTAATTTGGGGTATATATTTCAGTTGGGCATTTATTACGGTGCCTTTGAAAAGTTTCCATGCAGCTTGCAGGGATTTTATTTTTGTCACTGTACCTTTTAATTTCTGTTTAACTAACCTCCTCATTTTTGTGTAGTTGCCCTTTCTGAAATTCAGTGGCATAGTGTTGAGCTAGTGAGGTGTTTTTCCCACCACAGGGATGTTAAATTTTATTACATTATGGTCACTATTTCCTAGCAGTCCATTTATATTTATCTCTTGGACCAGATCCTGCACTCCAGTTAGGACTAAATCAAGAATTGCCTCTCCTTTAAAGCTTTAATGTGCACTCTTGGGAGTTAATGCATAGCTGTGTCATCACTACAAAGGTTCAGCTAGCCAATCAGACTATGGCTATGGAGAGACATCAGTGTTCCCAGACAGACTCCTAGCGCCAAGGTTAAGACTGATCCTACAGTTTATCCATTTCAAATCTGTGGAGAAACAAACTAGAGCTAGGCATAAGTCCCTGTT